AAGAACTTCTTCCTGATATCTAAGTGATGTTTTCCACTGATTAATTTGGAACCTTTAACTGTGTGCACTCCAGTCATAACTTTTTGCCCTAAATGTCACCTCAAGGCTGGTTGCATTGATGCACTGCCTTTAGTGACACTGTTAATGGTTTTTACTATATTCTCTTACAAGCAAGTGTGGCCTGGTAAACCAAAACTAGTGACTGTTGTTACCTACGCGGGATTCTGTGGGAGTATGTGGGTGATATGTGCTCCCTGCGGAAGCTTTGTCCTGGGAGAGGAGTCTGTGTTGCTTGGGATGCGATAACCCCTGTATTTCTGTAGGCAGGTGCCTTTGTGCTGGATCCCATGTGTGGGCTAGGAACGATACTGCTGGAAGCTGCCAAAGAGTGGCCCGTGAGTATCTCTCGGTTGCAACAGGCAGGGCCTTTGCGGGAGGGCTTGTAGTTGCATCACAAAAAGTCTGTACTGCAGTTACACCAAAGTCCCTTACTGGAAAACCGGAACCAAACTGATCTTTGAAGGCAGTTGTAAGAGTGTTTCAGTACAAACATTCCTATGCTGGGATGTGAAACCAGTGTAAACCAGCTGGGAGTGCTGTGTTTATACTGCAGGGTTTGTTTTGTTTGTTTTTGGACTTTTAAAACTGCCTGGCCTTATCCTGGGGGTGGAGGTGTGGACGTGACCGTACAGTCAGGTGTCAGTACTGGGGGCAGCGTGGCTAGCTGTAGCTAGCTGGCGTCCTCCTCTTAGCCCACAGCCTCAGTGTTTCTGTGAGTTGCAAATGTCTTGAGCAGACCAGAACGTGAGAGAAGATAGCACAGACTTCCCCCCCTTCCTCTGTCCACTGTGTGTTACTGCTCTGTGCGGCGGCACGAGATCTTCCAGTGAGGGGTTTGTCTGGAAAAGAGCTGTGCAGCAAGGCAGTTCTGAGAAGGGTTCATGAAATAAATAGATTTGTTTGTCAACTGAATGACCTGTCTCTTTTTCTCTGAACAGGAAGCCTGTTACTGGGGAGCTGATATAAGCGACGCACAGTTAGAGGGTGCAGATGTGAATATCAGGGCTGCAGGCTTGATGGATAGGATTGAGTTACTTCAGGCTTCTGTGAAAGGTATGTCTGTAGGCTTTCCAAGAGAGACAGGTTTGAAATTTTTGTGCTTCTGGGCTTGTACAGGTAGTGTGGGTTATCTTGGGCTGATGTGTGGTAGAGCTAACTCCCAGCACATAGCTGAGTCGTGACTCTGTCGTGCTAGTGAATGGATTTGTTCTCCCTTCCCCGCTCCCAGACTTTGGCAAGAACAAACTCTGCAGAAGGCATTGAAAAGAAGAATTGTCAGACATGGGCAGTAGTTGTCTGTCTTAATGGGAACTGTGTGAACACCACACAGTACATACTGTGTGAAAGTTCTTTGTGTGTTGCAGGAACACAGCAAGGACAAAACCAGATACAACATAACTGGTAACTTAAATGTTACCAGTTATAAGGAGTCATAGTGAGGGCTCCTTAAGCTCAGCGTTGAATTGATGTTTTTCAGTAGGAGTATTATAAATGATGATGCCTTTCTCCTGGAAGAGGGAATCTGTTTACTCTTAGTTCATGAGCTAGTCTGGGGAGAATATAGTAATTTTATGACCTTATTCTAGACCTCAAAGCCTGAGTCTAAATTAGTTCTTTATGACATTCATGACAATCAAAAGCTGCCTGTCTTTTCCTGTGCATGATTGATAAAGTATGCCTGGTTTTGTACCTTGCAGTATTTATTTCTTACCATTCTGGTAAGAAATACTATTTCTTCTGTTTTGTAAGAGCTTTATTTCCTACTTAAAAGCTGTGATTGGGCTTGGCTTCTTGGCAGGTGGAAGGTACTTTGTCAGACTTCGTCACCAGTCAGAAGCTGTTCTTTCTGCATGTTTTGGGAAGGACTGTAGGTAACTTGGCCTTTCATTTGCAGCACAACAATTATGTCTACAAGTGTTGTTGCAAGGATGGTGCAGGAACCATTTCCAGCCGGTTCCAGCAAGGCTGGCATAGAATCACAGCAAGGTTTAGGTGAGAAGGGACTGCTGGAGGTCTTTAGTCCTGCCATCTGCTGCGAGTGGGGCTAAGCCCAGAGCTGGGTGGAGTTGCCCAGGGCCTTGTCTAGTTGAGCTTTGAGCATCCTGAGGGATAGAGAAGCCAGTGTCTCATCCTTTCACATGCTGGCTGCACTCTGACACCAGCACAGCCTGGGACATGGCTGGCCTTCATCACCACAGGGGTGCAGTGCTGCCCCACGGTCAAGACAACTGTTGCCAGGAAGCAGAAACTCTGGGGAGATACTTCAAAGACTCTAGCTCTAACAGAATCCAAGCAGTTCTGGCTGTGACTGGGTTATTGGGGAGAGAAAAGGGGTCTGGAGAGGAATTTAACATGTGGTTCCTTGCCACTCATAAGTGTGCATCTGAACACTTGCACTAAGTGAAGCGCTTGCCTGCTTAGCTCTTCTTTGTCACTTTGCCTGCAAAGATGTAGTATGTGTGAGAAGCAGCAGTTAGTTTGGAACCGTGCAGTCCTCTGTTCGGAGACTCTCGTTCTTGGGGCAAACATACCACCGCTAACAGGGAGCCTGCAAGCTGAACCATGCTCCATGTGTTCGTCTCTTCCCAGCCCGCGTGGGGTTGGTGGAATCTGGCGCGTAACCCGCCAAAGGGCTGGCAGACAGTTTTATGCGTTGAATGAGGGCACAGCTACTGTTCATGTTTTCCAGTAGTCAGACGTAAAGGCTTGCCTTTATTCTGCAGCACTGCCGTTGCCATCGGAAAGCTTTGACGCTGTGATTTCGGATATTCCATTTGGGAAGAAGTTCAAGATCACAAAAGACATCGAGCTGCTTCCGCATGTTCTCCAGGAAATGGAGAGGTATGTGTGGGCTTTGACACGCTTTGGGTTTGGTGTGGATGTTTTGATGGGTTTTTGATCCTAAGCGTTCGGTCAGCCTCAGGTTTGATTTGTTCCAGAGCCTCTCCAGCTCTGTACCCTGATCCTGTGCAGGCCGTTAAAGTCCAAGTCCTTCACTTGTCGCTTAGAGGCTGTCGTGGCTTGTCCTGCCAGGTGTGGATGTGCTGATGGCAGCACAAGCTGACAACTGTACCCTGATCCTGTGCAGGCCGTGAAAGTCCAAGTCCTTCACTTGTCACTTAGAGGCTGTCATGGCTTGTCCTGCCAGCTGTGGATGTGCTGATGGCAGCGCAAGCTGACAGGGAATGAGCTCGTTGTCTGAGTCACGCTCACAGATACTCTTTACAAGGCACGGTGGTGGAATACTTGTGAGCCGTGCTCAGCAACGTTCTTTAAAAGCCGAGAAAGGAGAAAGAGGAGAGGAGGACCTAGGCCCGCTGAAGCATGGCCAGGCAGATAAAGCAATAATCCTTTCTTGGTTGAGATCTGCTTGTGTACAATGACAGGCTTTCCATTTGGGTTCACAAGCAAGCTTTTAGCAGCCTGCCTTGGCAGGAGAGATCTCAGGCCAGAAAATGGTGATAGGCCTTTTCCTTTCTGTTAGCATAGGCTGGCATATTCAGCTAGCCACCTGGTCTCGTCTTTTAGCCACCTCCTGTCATCTCTCATGCTGTCGTTTGGTGGCAGAGTTGAGACAAACCAAATAGCGGGCTGCTTCTACCAGGCAGTTCAAACCATCTGCCCTTTTATTTAATTTCTTGGCTGAAAAGAGGCCCTCTAGGAGAGGTTGGTGTTGATCCTGCTCACCCAATGCAGAAATGTGGGGGGCAGATGGTGAAGAAGGTGAGGTGGCTCCCCAGAATGGCAGAGTAGTCTTGCCAGGTCACCTTGCGTTGACCATCCCTCCCCTTGGCTGTGCTGGTCTTACTTGCTTTGTTGGGCTGTCCTAACGAAGATACTTCCTTGGGAAGGTGCAAGTGAGGAGAGGACTGATACCAAGAGACCCTCACCAGTAAGACTGCTCAATCCACTTGCTGTGAGCAGAGCCAGGATAGTCCTTTTTCCCCTTCCTTCAAAGCCAAACGTAAAGTTTGCTCATGTACTAAAAAAAATGGATGACAAACAAGTGTTAGTTTTCTTGTTTCCTGAGCTTGAAAGCCATCAAGGATCAGTGGAACACAGAAAGGACAGACCTTTTAAAGTTTCCAAAGGGAAAGGCCAGCTTCAGAATTGCCTTGCCAACCTGAGAAGCTCTTGCTTGCCTGGGAAGCTGCTCCTTTGCAGAGTGGTGGGAGGCTCATGTGATGCAAAAAATGGGCTTTGAAGGTGATACTGCCCTCAATCCTTGGAATAATACTCAGAGGGAGAAAACAGAGTCCATCTTCCCTGCTAAACCGATGGAAAGAACTCCTGAGGTTGGAAATATCTGGGAGTCAGGACAGGGCCCAGCTCTCGCTTTTAGGAAGAGTTACAAAGATAGGGAATATAAATTCCATTTGGAGACATGGCTTGCTGGGTTGAGCTGTGACCCTTAACGTGCTTAGGTGTTTTATGGAACGCTGCCGGCATCTGAAGTGTCAGCAGTGTTGAGCTCTGCACAGACGAATGAATGCCAGGCAGGCTGAACACCTAACCTTTCTCTTTCCTGCGCTTGCCAGAGTACTTCGTGTTGGAGGCACTCTGGTGCTGCTGCTGAGCCACGATCTCCGTCAGTGCGTGGATGGCATTGCCAAGTGTGCTGAAAATGACACTCCTGATGCCATTTCTGATGGAGCCAGTGAAACCGGCACCGCAACAGCCCTGAATGTTGATGGGAATTCTTCCTCATTGGTGAACGGTGTTGAAGAATCCTTCCTCAGCAGCAGACAGACACCTTATGGGCCTCTGGTGCCAGATGGTGTCTATGCTGTTAGCCTTGGGAAGACGGATGCTTTCATACACAAATACAGGAAGGTCTCTTCTGCTCCAAGTCAGTCGCTTTCCTGCCCTGCGCCTAAGTGACCTTGACTCCTGGTACACGTGAAAAGCAGGATGGCGGTGCTCCAGTGGGGTTTTGCTGACCTGAACCCTGTGCTGTTAGCTCACCTCAGTCTCTTCGGATGTCCTAAGGCGCTGCTCTTCTCCTTTTGGTTTCTAGGAGAGGTGGAAGATGCCTACCGGTGTTTCAGGTGTTTTTACTGTAAAACGTTGTAATGACACAGAGTCCTCAAATCCTTGTTTAGGCAAAGCCTCTCAGTATGGGGAGGAGTTGCTTTGGGAGAGGAAGGCTTTGTTTGCAGTACTGTAAAACCAAATGTAGTAATATTAAATGTAAATGGATTTTAACCTTTAGCATTGTTTTTTTTTTTAGGAAGCACGTCTTGTCTGAAGAAGTCTCCAGCTCTCTTGGAGGGCTGGATATGTGCTTTAGTCTGTGCCTTGCGGTCTTGTCTTTACTTTAAAGCTCCTTTCTGATGAGTTTGAAGTGTTGCTATTGAGATCTCTTGGAGTGGAAGATAAATTCTTTTCTGTATTTCATTCTCTGCAGCGTTTGCATGTGTCTAACAGTTGACACAGTTTAGACACAGTTGACATGTGTCTAAAATGCTTTAGCTTTTTAGGGTGAAGAGACTTATTTGTGCCAAAAATGATGCTTTTCCTCCCTTGGTAATGTTACTGCAAGAGCACAGGGTGGAAGATGTAAAAACTTGCCAGGTGGATGAGCAGTTAGAAGTGACTCCTGGCTGTGAAGAAGCATATGGAAAAATTCTCCTGAGGCGAGAAAGGTCTCAGCAGCCTCTGCAAAAGGTATCTGGGGAGGAATAGTCTAATTCAAGTCTTTCCCCTGGCTGCTGGGGAAAAGTTTTTTGTTTTTTGTTTTTTTAGAGTATGACTGCAGACTGCTTTCGGATGCTGTTTTAGAGAAGCATGGAGCAACTTGGCAATCTGGGATGGCCTCGAGGAGTGTGTTCCTCTCCTGTGATTAGTGTGGAATTAATTAGTGTTGTGTCTGGGCTTTCTTGTTTTTCTGATGTTGGAAGTTTGTTGTGTGTAGCCCGTTGGAAGCATCACTTCATGTGTGTGCTTTCCATGGCAGCTCCTCTACTCGGTAGAGCTTAGAATTTGAATCCAGAGCCTGCGGTGCGGGCTGGACTATGGAGACTCGAAGGGAGTGAGGATGTGTGTCAGACTGAGAGGATCCTGCCGCTAGGAGTCCTGCCGTGTAGCAACAAAATTGCTTTTCTGACTGATGTTACATGTCAGGAAAATTCTTAACTTTCACCTAATTTCTGCCATTCTTTCGGGGTTTGCTTACAAGTGCTGCGCATGGTATTCTGACAGAGACTGTACTAACAATTTATCTTGTTTGTCCCTCTCCTGATAGCTTTGGTTTAGGTGGTAACTGCACAGCGATGTGGAGCATATTCTGAGGTGACTGTAAATCCATCCCTTTTGTTCATATGGTTAATTTATGTCACAGTAGCAGTGATAGTGTCTGTATCACTGGTAGTAGTAGTGTCTATATTCAGCTTTCCCGAGAATGGCTTTGCCTTCTGGTTTAAAAGCCCTTTAGAGTTATGCTGAAGCCACATACACTAGAAGGAGAATTTTGACGTACCTTGGAATTTGCTGGTTTTTCAGCTTGCTTATAGATTGTCTTATTTGTGAAGTCCAGTGGTTATTTTAGGCCTTCAGTGTTACTTTGGCTATGAAGTTGTTGGAGTTAGTGGGCTTTCTGTGAACAGTCTGTGTCTGTGAACGAAAGCAACTTCAGAAGAACTCTGTTGTAAATAACATACTAGACTAGCTGTAATTTGCCCTTATTAGACTTCAGGGAAGCCCCGGTGTAAGATACCGAACAGCAGAAGAGCATTTGACGTGTACTTCTTAGAGAAAGAAATAATTAGGCTGTCAAATATGTGTCACCAACATTCTCTTCTGTCTTCATGTTGTTCTCGCTCACCCTCTTTAACTCACCTACCAAATCCCTGCACAACACCCCCGAAACAAAGCTGTCTCTGTTGGGTTTTCAGTTTTGTTTGTGATTTTCTCCGTGTACACGCCTGGTAAGAACCGTTTCTAGGAAGACAGGGACAACCCAGGTACCAAATAGTAAGCTTCAGGTAAACGCCACATCTCTGGCCGTGTTTTAACTGGATGTAAGTTATGCGCAGTCCACAAGTTTACATACCGAAAAGTTGCAGCAGCTGTGTACCACAGAAATGTGGTTTTGCTTGGGAAGATGATCTAATAGGTGTTGGACACGTGGACAGAAATAGCAACGTTTTGTCACGTGTTTAAGAATCTGGGATATTCCAGGGCATGTGCAGATGGACACAGTGGTGTTGGGGGAGGGGGGTAAAGCCCTACCCTGAGGGCTTCTTTCCATGTTGCTTTGCCACTGCCCTGAAGCAGAGTGCATCATGGTTTGGTTTCTTTGGAGTTCTTGCCTTCACGGGAGAAGCCCAGGAGATGTGCACTAATCAGCTCAAACTCAACTCAGGGTGGGGCAGCTTGGTACTGGTTTTCAAGTGCTGACAGCAAATGTGGCCTGTGCTTACAGTTGTGTGGAACCAGCTGGGATCTGTGACAGGTTGTGAAGAATTACGGTTGGAGATGAGGTAAACGCAGAATCGTAGAATGGTTTGGGTTGGAAGGAACCTTTAAAGGTCATCCAGTCCAACCCCCTGTAGTGAGCAGGGACACCTTCCGCTCAATCAGGATGCTCAGAGCCCCGTCCAGC